ACCAATGCTGTTGCTGGATAGTATTTGGTTCTTCGCTCTATTTTGTTTCAGAACTGCCCTTCTGACTTAGTTGTTCTTTGGTTTTTTCAGATTGAGCTTCTCTTGTACCAATTTCAACCTATCCTTCAATGAGATTTTATTATCCTCTAAAACTAAATCTTACCACACCTCCAAACCACACTTCTCTTAAGATGTTACTACTTGGCATTACTGTACAGTCTTGTTCTTAGGCATCATCTTCTGTTCAAGGCAGAAATCATTAGCATTCCTTTATTTACTGTTCCACTGCTTTCTTCTGTATTCCCACACAAATGACACGTAGGAGGGAATTCAAAATCATGGGTTCATTTAGCCAGTTTTGCAAATAGCTATAAATTATTTCTTCCCATTCAAATGCTGAGAAGGACAGAAATATGATCAGTTGACAAGGATGCTTGCTTTAATGACTGTATCTGGACCAGGAATACTGGGAGGTAAGTCAGTTAATTAAAAGTTCATGAACCTTTCAACAGTGGTCCTGTTCCTGCTTGAAATGCTCTGACCTTTGTTGTCATGTTTCTTCTGCAAGGTGCCTTATTAGGTAAGTTCCTGGTTTAAATCCTTGATGGATTTAATGAAACAAGCAAAGTGCTGCAAGTAGATGTGAACTCTTGACATACCTAGTTTCTACTTAAATTGACTGTTTTGGTTCACTTTGCTAATGATAACTCCTGCAGTAAGATGACATGTGGGATGGTATTCCACATGTGTCTTTATTAAAATTGGGTAAAGTAGGTTGCAAACACTGTCAGTGCTGCCCATGGTTACCTACCAGTCCTTATAAATTTATAAATTAAAAATACCTTACTGCTTAATTATTGAAGGGCTTTTTGCACATCTCCAATGAAAGCTAATGCTATTGGGGCATTCACAAGTAATTCATTTTGCAGTGAGTCAGGGTAAAATGCATGACACACCAATTTCAGAAGCCTCTGTTACCTGTGGGAATTGTCAGTGGAATGATTGCTCTGTCCTCTTTGAAATGGCTGTGCAGCAAAACCGAAGGAAAGTCAAAGCCCTTTCCCAGAGGGGGCCTGGATGGCTCCCATCTTCCTGGCTGCTCCATGCAACCTGCAGGAGAGAAAAACCTCCAGACAATTTCTTACTTTATCAAATTTGGCCAATAGATTCAAACATGGAGAGGCCAACTGCCAGACACGTGCACATAAGGATATGCAAAAGAACATTTTGATTTGCTAAACAAAATGACATGTCAGCTATTAAAAATCAAAATGGCCTTTATAAAGAACAGAAAAATATGAGCTTGCTCACCTGAAATTTCATGATTGCAAATATGTTTCCATCTCTTATAAGATGATAAAGTCACTATTTCTGTGGGCTTACTGTTTTGCTAACATTTATGAATAAAGACAGTAATAATACTTACGTAGATACGAGCTGAACACAAAGCATGACATAATGCATATAATAAAGAGTGAGCTTGTTTTGCTTAGTGGTTGTTGTTTCAAGCTGGCAAATTCCTGTTCTTTTTTACTGAGATTTTAAGTCACTCTCCCTCCCTTCCTGGTTCTCTTGTAAGGATATAAAAATACTGTTGTTCTTTTGAAAAGATTGATAATAGGCAGATATTTATAGATCAGTATTTCAGATGATACTTTCAAAATACAGATTTTTTTAATAATAAAAATAATAAAATCAGGGCAGATTCTTAGCTGAAAACACATACTTGAGCAATATGAAAGTGTGATTGAAATTAATTGTTTGTGAGGGTCACCCATTTTTTTACTTTTTCATTAAAATAAATCTAACTATTTGCATCTGCATAAGGCCATTAAGAAAGAGGAATGAATATCAGTAGCTACACTCTTCCCTATTACAAGGATTCCAGGCTGCTATTTGACCCTCCAATCTGGCAGACCAACTCTTTTATAGCTTTTTACTCATTACATTGGTGTGGGAGGTTTCTGAGGCCAGGGCCCAATGTGTCTGAGCAGCTGTTCTTCTAGGGATCACCGATGATCTTTGTGTGAAAAAAGGTGATTCACTAGAAGATTAAGTGTATATTTGCCCTACATACAAGCCACATAACTGACATCTATCCCTTTGTTTATTCTGGCAGACCTAGGAAAAGATGCAGACAGGTTTCACCTCAGATACTTCAGTGCCTCCCCAGTGTCTTGCTCTGCCCAGCCAGGCCAGGATGTTTCCCTGTGTCTTTACCGAGAGCAAGGTAGCCCTGAGGCTAACACTGACACTAATCTTACCTTGCGAAAGTATTCAGTCAATGAGTGGAGTTCAGTGACTCAAGCCACTAAGGTACTCCATGGCCTTTGGCAGGTTCTTCTTTTCATCTTTACACTGGAATACAGAAACTAGTCCTAGGAGAAGGCATGTAGAGTCCTGCCAGTGTTTGGCCCAAGCAATGACTTAGGAGAAGCAGTCACTGTGCATAATGAATGCAGCATCTTTGGGGACTAGGAGATGGGTCTCGTATCCATGTGAAAATCCCAACTGTCCTGCTAAAGGGAGTTGGGCATCCTTTTTTCTCCCTCTCTCACTCTAGACCCCTGATTATTTCACATTTTTCTTCAGGAACTCACCAGCTTCAACTCTTGGAGGATAAAGAATCTCCAGTACCTAGTTTGTAGCATATGAACCTTGGCTGGCAAAAGTCTTATGTCTGAACACTCTTTGGCTGGACAGCTGCAAGGTCTCATACATGCAGAATGTCCAAAAAAAACATTTTAAAGAACAGTGGCAAAAACTGCTTTAGAGAAGGTTTTGTTCTACATTTTTTATTAGTTTTGCTTGGAAAAAAAAAATGCTTACTATATGGCTGCTTCTTGGGTCTATCAAGAAATACAGTAAAATTCTGAGTGTAGGATATGTTTAATAATTTAAATGCTGTTAAAACTTTAGGTACCAGAGTGGCTGTCAGTCCAGATATGAAGGCTTCTCTATTTTCTTTGCAGATTTTTTTTCATTTCATTTTCGTTCTTATGCAGCTATATTTGGCTAAGATTTATTGGATCTTTAGCAGTAAACATCAAATATATGAGAAGAAAATTTATCTGTGATCTGGCAGCAAATAATCTCACTACTAGAACTGCAATTGTATTTTTTCAAGGTATTACAAGATTTTAGTTAATTGATTTTATCTTCTAAATGTCTAGGCAAGGTGTGCATTTAAAGTTACTTGCCTTATGAATAACGCTGAGATATTAGCATCCATTTTTTGGGTCCAACCCCTGTCTCCTGAGCACAGTCCCACTGAAAGCCTTTAAGCAGAAAAGCTATTTCAGGGTTTCTAGGAGTGCTCTGCTCTACTCTGCAGTGGTGAGCTCTCAATGTGTAATGAATTTCAAGAACATGCACACTGTGATCATTTGTTGAAATGGTTTCTCTGTAACAATAACACAAACAGTGGACATTTTCACCTCTGGAAACACTGGGCTTTAGCTCTTCCGTTCCTTCTTTCTTCAGGGGTGTACCACGTTGAGAGATTTTCCACAGCAAGTTAGGAATGTGGATTCACTTGTTACCATCTAGGCTAGAATTGACAGATCTTATACATTACAGCCTTCTGCATTCAAAAGAAAAAAAAAAATGGGAAGACACAGGAATTGGTATGCTTTTCTGGAAAAGGTTGCTTTTGTGTTTGCATATAAATTCTACATGTGTCCTGGCAGATACTGCACTGAAAATTACCAGCCACACTCCTGATAGAAAATATGGATACTGGCAAATTATAGAAATATATTAAAATTTCTGATAATTTCCTAAGTTTATAAAAGGTTATCATTCTATTAGTCTCAGTAAGCAGCATGGTCTTAAGCCTGTTCTGACAAATCAATTGGTTTTAAGGGCTGTGAAGAAATTCTAGCCTTGCTTGCCCTACTAAGCCTTGAAGTTTCATCCTAGTTCTTTTCACCCCTTTCCTATTTTCTTCCTTTGAGCTATTCCAGTGTGACTCCATATTCTCTTCAGACTTCAAGGGAAGGTCAGTATCTGTCAAACGTAAACTTTGCCTTGGGAGACTCACCAATCTGCTGGAATTTCACAGTGAGTCTGGAGTTGATAAATAAGCTTAGGTCAAACTTTCAATCCCGTATTACTCCAAGCAGGCTGTGCCAGAGCACGTGTGCAGACAGATCAGATCAGATTTTCATTCTTGAAAATTCTTGCAGCCTTGAGTTTCAGCAAGCACATCATTCAAGTGAGTTCATATGAAAGCATGGCAATAATCACCTAAGGAAAGAGAGTATGCACTATGCATGAACCCTGCATGCTTTTGTTTTAAAGGAAGCAATTAAAACTGGAGGGTAACACTTTTTTATAGAAAGGTTGGGGGGCCAATGACCTCCATGAAAGAGAATGAGATTGAATAAATGTTTAAATATTATTTGGGTCTTTAGCAGGGTTACCTGGTACTGACATGTACAGTGATTTATATAGTGCATGGCATAACAAACCCCAGATATAAATTTTCTTCTCAGACACTTACCAACATAGCAGTGAGAGATCATGTTACTGCCAGCAGAATTGCCACATTGGGATGGCAACATTTATCATCTCAGTTCGTGCGGGTCACATGGATTGCAATTTAAATAGTTAATACAAACATATATATAAACACAAACATGCATATTGAAGCACATAGGTAGTATCATTGAAATCCATGATTTTTAAAAGGTAAGTCTCTAGTATCTGTCATAATAATTTTATTTACTTAACGTCACAGCAAACTATTAAGCAACAGTTTCACCTGCCTTTCTTTCTAATTTATAGATCTCATACCCAGAGAGAGAAGATGGAGGAAGGCAAGGAAATTCAAACTCAGATAATTATAACAACATGTAAGCTGAAGGACTGAATTCCCTTGGATGATTTTCAAGGACCTGGTATAGCTGGATCAGAAAACGGAGTACAGAAAAAAAAGAATAATGGATTTCATTTCTCCATTACATTCAAAACTCATAAGGAAATTCCTGCAGAGAAGCAGAGAAAGTTCAGCTGTCTGAGCTGGCTGGAAAGACAATTGCGCAGGTGGGATCCAGTGCTTCTTCTTCACACATGCAGAAAGAGGGAACCACTGGGTTTACCTTAGCTGCAAGTCTGAAATCTGTTGCTTGGCAGCTCCCTTTTTATGTGCACAGCTTTGTTGTTGCACCACTTTGAGCCCTCATCATTACCAGCCCCAACACCAAAACCTCCAGGCACTGAGATTCTCTCCCCCATGTAATTTCTTTGCATATCACAGTCCTGATACTCCTGCCACACATGGTGGAAATCTCACTAGAGGACAGTATTTTAAAAAAATTAAAAAAAAAAGGAAAAAGAAAAAAATATTCAGATTGCAGCTAGCTTGAGTTGGTTATTAATCAATTATTCACATCTGTTTCTGCAATAAATGGGCCTAGCAGAGGTCTCCAACACTCAGATCCAGGAAGCAACTTTGATGCCTGCTTTCCTTCAGTATTTTGGTTGAGTTTATGCTTTCTCTCATTTCTCTGACACAAAATTATTGTATATCAAAACAGAAAATTTCATTTGCTGAATGGGAAACTGAATCGTAAGGTAATGTCAGTGCTATTGTTCTTGTCCATACTCAGGGAGGGAACTACCATTCAAAAAGTAGTATTGCAGGTCTAGAGAAATCCAGATAGGCTGTTAGTTTCTCTCAGAATCCTTTGCACTAAAAGTTAGTAGCAACAGAGGAAAAGCAGTTGTAACTGCCACGAGTCCCACGCAAGTAGCCCATTGGGACCCCTACTGTCCCAGGGGTATGTGGCCAGGCAGGTTCTGAGTGACTCTCACTGACTTCAGAAAATCTGGATCAAGCCTGAGGGCTGTGCACAACTTCCCTGATGATCAGAGTTTTCCACACAGCTGTCTGGAGGAGACAAGCAGACTGGTATAGGACCACGCAAGGCTGTCTTAGGGATGTCACTGTAAAAGCTTAGACATTACACTTCAAATAGCTCCCCAATGGAATACAGATCCCACTCTGTGATAATCTCCATTGGTGACTCACTTGTAGCAACAGCTCATTAGTTTGTCCAATATTTTTCCGCTTCTGCACCCCCAGTCTCTCTGGCTCTTCTTGCTTGCATGCATCTACCCAGACACATTCCCACAGAGCCAGGAATAAAGATGCTGTGAGCTGGGGAAGCTGGTGGTGAGGAGAAGGTGCCACGACCATGTGTCAGAGTGGGACAGTGCAGGAGTGTCTGGCACAGGGGGGCAAGATACCAGAGTGACTGTCTGGGACGTCAGCAGTGTGCTGGGTCATCAGGGAAAAAACCCTACAGTTGCAAGGGTAGCATCCCCTCAGTAAATTTGTTTTTAAAAAAGCAAAACCCCTGAATGATTCATTACCATACTCCAGAACTAGAAAAAGACTCCACAGGAGTCAAAGTAAAGCAGCTCAAACCAAAGAAACTAATAACTAGTGGAGATCAGCTGGGAAATAGACCCTTCTGCAAACACAAGATGAAGGAGAAATCTGACAGCTTAATATTTTATTCTGGGGTTTCAGGAAACTTACCTAGTGCCTGACATCTAAAATATTAAAAAACTTAAGAGATTACACATAAAACACCAAAATATAATCAGTGAAATTTTTGTCAGAATACCAAAGTTGATTTTAATAAACTCCTTGACACTGCAGCATTTTTATGATCCTTTCAGTGGCCTAGTATCTATAATTGAGTTTTTTCTTCTGGTGCATATCTGTGAAGAGATGAGGAAATCTCTACAATCATCACAATGCTCACAAAGTTTTGAATATTTTCATCCCAAGTTAAAATGTATTAATTGTCCTAAGTTATCTCACTGAGTTCAGAAAGGTATTTCAGGTATCACATCTGAATGCTCCAACTGAATGTCAGAGCATGCACTCCCTCCCAGCCCTTCACCTGATCCAGGCTGTGACAGGGGCTATGGTATAGGGGGTATAGGGTATGATAGGGACAGAGGTGTTCCAGAAACCCCACAGGGCACTGTCCACTCACTGGCCATCTAAATACCCATCCACAAGGTTGTGAAATACATTCATAAAGGCACTTACTTTCCGGGGATAACAGCTTGCTTAAATGCCTTATTGCTTTTCTTAAGTCACTGTTCCAGAATTCGTTGTCATGAGTCAGAACCTGAGGACTGAGAATTTAAAAAACTTAATTAAACAAGCTGTAAAAAAAAAACCACAAAACAAAACAGCTAGATAATAAAAAAAACATTTATAAGTAGATTCCAGGGAAAAAATGCTGCCCTACTACAAAAACAGCATTTCCAAACTGTTTTTAGACACAAGATCAATGCTAGCCAGTCAGACCATGCTTGATAATTTGGATAATAAAATTGTTTTTTGATTCTTTACACTAAGTATGTTATACACAGACAAATGATTTATACTGTGATGTCTGCTCTCATGCCATACTTTCAGACAAAGTGCTACAGTAGAAACAGATTTCCTTTTTGCCTGGTTTTAAGAAAAGTACATAAAGAGCACAAAAAAATCCTCACTTGGTTACTTTTCTTAAAATAAGATTAATGAGAAACTAGTTTAGCACATGAAAAATTAGTTTGCAGGCCCTGATAGATATTGGAGGAATTCCTATTACCTTAGGAAAGCAGTTCAGTCTTTGAGCCATCTCTCACCTGTTCATGGAGTTGATCATTCAGCCAGCTAAGCCTCCTGCCAGAGCTGGGATGTTTTCTGCAGCCCCAGCACTTCTAGTAGAAGGCAGAGGACAAGCAGCACAAGCTTCAGTGCTTCACTCACGACATGCTGTGAGTGATTTTGTGACAAGGGACTTTTTTTCTCTTGCACATGGGTGGACCTGAGGCTGGGCTGGGCTGCAGAAGTTCCCAGCTGCTGTGGCCAGGAGTGCCCTTCCATCTCAGTATCAGTATCATTCCATCTCAGTCTTGTGTGAATGAAATCTGCTAGCAGGAGCAGTGGGTCATAGACACCGCACCTTTCCTCACCTCTGCCAAAAGAGGTGAGGACTTCTGCCTGGTCCACATCATCAGGAGTCACAGCCAGCAGGAAATCCAGCCAAAAAATTAAATTGGTACCTACAAATGATAAAAGTCACAAAGCACTGATGGAACCATAAAGTCAGGAATAAGCATGATCCTTTTGCCCTTTCAATTTTGATTGCTGATCCCTGAAAGGTATTTTCTCTTTTTTTCCCCTCTTTGTTTCCCAGGTTTCTATTCAGTCCCCTCTTCACATGTCTGTTTTTTATTTCTGTTTCTGTGGTTTCCACCTTCCTGAAAAGAGCCTGCAGGCCTTTCAACAGTATTGTTAGATACATAAAGCCATGGTAAATCTCAATTACTTCTTTTTATATATGCATATATTATATAACAATAATTACTTTCTTTTTTTAGTCAAAGCTGCTTCATTTTACCCTTCTTCTGCTGGTAATTTGGTTCAAGACATGTGAGGGAGTCTGCTTTCTGCAGTGGCCCGAGGCAAAGCTACAGGGACTTCAAAGGAAAATGTAGAAATTAGCTGGTGGCAGACCTCTCTAAAGAAGTATGATTCTGCTTGCCAAACTCCTACCAAGCAGATCATTGGACTGGTTTGCATTATTGTCATTTTGCACAGTGCCCCCCCATCCCAAAATAGATTTCCTGAAGCTCTGATGAAGTAGGATTTCAGTTCCATGTTTCTGAAGTGGACAGCTGTGAACAGGACAGCTCTAATGGGACCTGGAACAAAGCGCAGAGGCAAACCTCCACGAGCTTTACTCTGAACCTGTGCAGAGCTGCAGACTGAGGGCCTTGTTTGGTCAGCAAGAATGAAGTCAGTCCTTAACACAACTGCAATGCATCGTCTCTGCAAAGAACTGAATGTTTCTGGCCCATTTTTTTATTAACGTGGCACTTCCCATTTCCCAGTCCATACTCCTCTGTTTTCTTTTTGTTCTGAAGGCACAAGTTCGGGCCATTCAGCACCTACTTCTGTCACTGTAAATGCTCATTTTCTGCCTCACTTTCTGTGACATTAGCGTCGACAGACACCCATTCCCTTCTTCTCAAGAGGCCTCACTTCAGAAATATGAGCAGACCTTGGAAAAGGGCCGAGCGTAGCGTGTGGAGGGAGCGCAGCTGGTGCCGGGCTGTTTCTTTGGCGGAGCCCGGCCGCCCCCGCTCCCGCAGCCTGTCCTGCCCTCTAGTGCCGGCCGGCGGCTCCCGTGCCTCCCTCCCCCGGGACAAGGTGCCACGAACAGCCGAGCCCAGGGTGCGCTGCTGTGAGCCCCTGAGGGATGCTGTGAACCCTGGCCCAGGAGGACTGTGCAGTTTCCATCCTCGAAGCCACTCAAAAACCTGAGTGGACGTGGTCCTGGACAGCCTGCGCTGCCTTGCACTGCTTCAGCAGGGGGACTGGGCTAGATGATCTGAAGAGATCACATCCAAACTAAGTGATTGTTTTTTCCAGGCTTAAGCATGGCTAAATTTATCAACATCTATTAAAAATAATTTATGTAATTCTGTTCGCTTGAAAAAATCTATCAGCAGCATTTGTATGTTTGTAGATGCCTTTGACTTGGGCATGAGGAAGCTTATAATGTCTTTCCTTGATTTTCTGGTTTCTTTTGAGCTTTGTACTAAAGACATAACTAAGAGCAAGCATATTAGGGCAGAAAATCAACATTGTGGCTTTGGGAAGTAGAATAATTAATTGGATAGTTGGTTTTTTTTTGGGGGGGGGGTTGGGGTTTTTTTGTTTGTTTTTGGTTTTTTGTTTGTTTGTTTCTGATTTTTAGTTTTGGTTTTGTTTTTTTAATTCTGGGTTTAATTAATGAGGTGTTTTCATCATTGATGGCTGCAGTACCTTCCTCACAGGCTACAGTTGAAATCACTGTAGAAGGATGTAACTCTTCAGCCTCATCTCTCTTTGCTGAGGCAGGAGCAGCAATACCTTCCAGCTAGATGTGAGAAATCATATTTTTTTCTTCAGAAAAAAAAAACCACCAAAACCCCTTAGAATAGATGGATATATAACCTGTAGACCAGATTATTTGGATCTTGTTGAATAGATGTTATATTTTTTCCTTTCCTCCCTCGTATGTCAGAAATCGGGCACATCTAGGGATATGATGACAGGTTTGATGTATCACCACTGTTTTGGTGAGACACAAACAATTTCCAGAGCTGTCTCTTGAGCACATCAGTTTGAATTATTTCAAATCTGTATGCAGTGTAATAACCTGTGAAACAACCACTATAAAGATATAAAATTATAAAACATTATACCAAAGTCAAGTTTGTAATAAGGAATTTTTGCTGTTTACAGCTAAGAAAAGCATTACTCACAAAAATAGGTCACAAAGTGCTCAGTAAACCTATATGCTTTTGTCTGAAAACATAGACGCCAATGAGGAGTGAGTAAACACATATGCAAGATGATTAACCACATAAATAATCTGTATCATTCTTTGCATGTTTTATCAACAGTAAAATTTTTATCTGACTAGTCTTGCTTGCATGTGATCAGTGGCAAAATTATCACAGGACACAAGATCATGTGCTCATTTCAAAAAGTGTGTTATGGACATTTGTTCCTACTTTGGTTACTTACGATCCCAATGCAGCCAGGGCCATACTGAACCAGAGGAAACATTTAGAATTGCATTTCATAGCTCCTCTGACTTTTCTAGTTACTTTTTCTTTACTATCAAATTTTATAATAACTTTGTGAGATGAAGTGCCTGCTCTGTGTTCATTATTACAAAAGGATTATGGTGAGATAAAAGCTTATCCATTTCTACAATTTAATTTTACCAAATACATTTTTTAACTCCACAGCTTCTTTTTCATACTCTTTTTCTTTTTCAAAAGACAACATTTAATATGTTGAATAATTGGGATTTTTATTTCAAGCTGTGAGTTACCACTCCAGTTTGCAGAACTGGTTTCTGCTGGAAGTTTAATGCTTTCTTATAAGGACAGACACTGGTTTCCAAGTCAATGCCTGACATCCTTCTACACTGCGGAACACTCAGTACAGAGGCCACCAAGGAATCCTGTCTTTGTTGTTTCACTTAAATTAAGTGAATGTTCCCTTCTTTCGGGAACATTATTTTCTGCTTCCTTCAGATGCTCAGAAAACAACTTGCATTGTCCTTGCATTTCTGGTGTGATCTCATCAGCTTCTGACTATTTCTGAAGCAACAAATTCTCAAAGCCATTTCTAGGCACATTAGGGACAAGAAAATGATCAGGCATAGTCAGCATGGCTTCACCAAGGGGAAGTCTCGCTTCACCAACTTGCTAAAGTCCTACAATGACTTGAGTGACCTGACAGATGAGGAAAGTGCAGCAGATATTGTCTACCTGGGCTTCAGTGAGGCCTTTGACAATGTCTCTCATAAGATCCTCACAGAAAAGCTGTTGGTATACAGTCTGGATGAGCAAACATTGAGGTGGACCAAAAACTGGCTGAATGGCCAGGTCCAGAGGGTGGTCTTGAGAAGCATGGCACCTAGCTGGAAGCCAGTAACTACTGGTGTATGCTGTGAGTCAATACTGCATCAATTCCTGTTTAACATCTTCATTAGTAATCTGGATGATGGGGCAGTGTCCCAACAGCAATTGTGCTGATGACTCAAAACTGGGAGGAGTGACTTAAACACCCGAAGGTCGTGCTGCCATCCAGAGTGACCTTGGCAAGCTGGAGAAATGGGCCAACAGGAATGAAATTCAACAAGGAGAAGTATGAAGTGCTGCAGGTGGGGAGGAACAACCCTCTGCACCAGTGTATGATGGAGGCCATTGTAAGTAAAGGGTTAATGACATTTGCATTTTATGCATTAAACAAAGGGTGATGAAATCTGTTGCAGAAAACATCATAGGTGCCTATGCACAAGCTGAAAATGGAACAAAGTCCCAGATCTGGCTTTGCCAAGTCAGGACCAAAACCGGTATTTTTCATTACAACCTTAATCCTTTGAGATCCACAGAATAGATCCCTCCCCAGACAATGAATTGAGACCTGAGAAAATGGAGTGGTAAAACACACACACTCTCTTGCCTCTCATGCTAACAAGGGATTGAAAACAGAAACTCAGGGAACAAACTGGGTACGCCCTCACCAGCAAGAAGCCCAGGACACTGAAGGACCAATGGGATGCTACTGGATCCATGATGGTGATTATCTTCTGCTTGCAGTGTCTGTCTCCTGCTTCCTTTCTCTTGCTCATTTTGTCTTTGTCTCTTGTTTCCTGATACAAATAATTTTACAAAATAAAGCTGGTATTTTTGAACCACCATTTGGTCTCATTTGTACCTTAATCTGGGCAGAGGACTTTAAGATTGAATCATAACAGCCATACATCTGAAAATACCTAAAGTACATGCAGGACAGTGTGTTTCAAGGTCTTCCATGTTGTACTTTTATAAACAGATGAAAATTTACAAGACTACTTTGCATTGTTTACCTAAGTTAAACCAACGACATATAATTAAAACCAGGAGCAGTAATTTTTGAGTTCTTTCAGGCCCTTTATTAATCCCTGACCAAGACAAATGTAATTTTCAAAAAGATGAAATTTTGTGACTAAAAGTGGCCCAGAGACTCTAATCATATCTGCCTGAAAATTCATGAGTTGTGACAGAATAATTATTGGTCCCAGAAATAAGTATAAAAATACAAAGTGAGATAAGCCTTGCTGACGTTCTACAGAATCTGTTAGAGAACATCCTTGGAATACACATGTCTTAATGATTCAGGGCTCATATCTCTGAAACCAAAGATAGAACTGGCAAAACTGTCTTAGCTATATGCTTTCTCCACCCAAAACCAAGATGTAAGGAAATAGGAGAAGAGGAAAACCAATGTTCCAATGAAAGAAGAGATAAGGCCACTACCTTGCAAGTCCTTCACTTCAACAGTGAGCAAAGACAGAAAGTTTATTCTACTACAAGGTAGCAGATACTTGTGATTACTGACTACAATATTAGAGCAAAATGATCATTTGACCCACCCTTTGAGCATCTATAAACAGAGATACCTGTTTACTTCATTGTTATGAGAAAGCTTTATATTCTCTAGCTGGCACAATGGAAACCACAGGTTGCATTTTGCATCGGTCTCTTACGATTCTTGCAGTATTTTTATCAAGTCTGATTTTCTGTGCAGTTCATGCCTGTTTTACCTACCTGCAGCCACATGTCTCTGTATCCATGAGAGCATGCACGTGCCGTTGCCATCCATCAATGCCACATACAGAGACGAAATTGCAAAGCCAGCCTTGAAGGTTGTGTTACTCTGTGACACTGAACCACCAGCAGGTGTGAAGACATTATTTCCACAGCACCTGTAGCATGGTCCTGAAAATCTGCCCTCTGCCCTACAGAAGGGAGGGCACTGTTTTACTCTCTAAGGCAAAGTCCTGGGCACTTAAAATTTTACTGGAATGTCTGCTACTAACAATCAGCCAGGGCCTGGAATTTGATTTTAAGTCCTCTGAGGGCAAGGGCCATGTATTTGTTTCATGGATCTGCAGTACCTAAGTACCTGCTATTGCTGAGTAATGTCTCATGACTGAAAGTGTTGCCACCATATATGTAGGTGAGTTTATGAGTGGCAAATAATTACCTCTGAAATAATGAAACCCCAAATCAATGTGACACTGCCAGATTAATCTGTCATTTTCCTCTCTGTATCAGGCCAAGTGTTCTGAACAGTATAAAGAGATCTGTCCAGCTATCAGATGAATGATCCATTCCTCTTTCAAACCTAGTGATGATAATACTGAAAAAAGAACCTGAATCCCAACTGAGATCAAAAACATGCTGCAAAAAATTAGACCAGTGAGTCAGCACTTATCTTTTATGTTGTAAATTAATTTCATACTGAAACGAATATACTCAGGTGGGCAAAAGAACAGGATCTCGGCATTTTTGTCCCTGAGGGAAGAGTGACTCAGTAATGACCCTGCTTTCATCAGAGGCACAGATAAATCTGTAGCTGATGCTATGCAACGTCGATAGCTGAGTCAGAAACAAGGATCTGTATTTTGCAGCCAGAAGCTCATGAGATCACACCAGCATGCAAGGACAAGTTTCAAAATATCAAATAACTTTAGTACCACAAATAAGAAATTGAGAAATGCCTTCCAGGCAGCTCCATTTATATGAACTGGTCAGTACTAGGTATTTAAACACAGCTGTGCAAAAGCTTGTGTTAACTTTAACCTAAGACCTAGGTTCACATCATATTTGCACTCAAGTGAAATCATGGTTGTCCATTTAAAAAACAAAATAAATAATCAGACATATTTGTATGGCATACTAACTTGAACAAAAATACTGACCTTAGCTTAGTTTTACATTACCCATAAATTATCATGAAACATATGGAGTTTTATAAACGATCATACAAAACCACATAAAACAACTTCTAACTGAAAGAAATGGAGGTTTACATTACCAGTATATCACACAGAGTACTTAAACTTTGAGCAGTTATGTAGTACTTGTGCACAAGAATTAGATGAATAGAAAAACAATTGCCAGAAGTTGAATGTATCAAAATGTCACCAATTTTAGTATCCCTACGTGGTCTATGGAGAGAGGCAGTGCCCTTTAGAATTGACCTAAGTGGCTTTGTGTCAAACACTGGGCTTTTGGCAGTGAGGAGAGTTAACTTCATTTGACAGCAATTGGGTTGCTGGATTCATGTTCCTCCCTATCACTTGCCATTGACTGCAACTCTTTCAATGCAACCATTCCTAACTCAGAACCTCTGCTTTTAGTCTCCCTTTCGCTAGGAGGGGATGGGGGAAGAGAGCAGCTTAAGTGGGGTTTAATTTTCTAGCTGTGTTTTAAACCAGCACTGCCATGCAGAATAATTTTCTTCTTGAGAATTATTGCTTTACTCAAAACCAGTGTATATCCTATTTCATTGAGTGTAAAACCCATGTTACAAATAATATTGCAAATCTGGTCTAGAAGTACTAGTTATCTTCCTTCCCCTCCCCTTGCAAAAAACAGAACATGTATACAGGACATCAAGAATGGAATTAAGTCAAACACAATTCAAAACTGTTCATTTGATTCTTGTTTAAAAATATATAAATGAGCAATTGCTCATTGCAATTTGGCAGGAGGTTGTTTTGTTGTTTTTTTGGTTTTTTTCTGGGGGGGTTGGTTTTTTCTGTTTTCTGGGGGTTTTTTTGGGTTTTTTTTTTTTTTTTTTTTATTCTAGGACTTTATCATTTAATTATAATGAGCTGGCATTACCTCCCCCATATATTTGGATTCAGTGTTCATCCTTACATTTAGCTGTGTGTACACCTTCAACCACATGGCATTACCCAGCTATAGTAGGTACTTATCTACTGGGTACACAGCGCTTGCCCTCGAAGGACATACCACTTGGTCCTGGCTGGTTTTTAGTAGCAGACATTCTAGTAAGTTTTTAAGTGCTCAGAACTTTATCTTAGAAAATGAAATTTTGCCTTTCCTGTTGTAGGGATGTGTAGAATGGAACTGAAGAGAGTAGATAAAACTAGAAGTATACTAGAGGTGGTTAAGCTTAAAAAATGTAAATGTTTGCAGTAGCATTCAACACAAACAGGTGTGAAAAAATATTTTTGGTCATGTTCAGGAAATTTCCAGCCCATTGCTATCTCACTTTTAGTATGAAAGGTGACATTTTTTGCTCTTGTATTTTCAGAAGAAAATATTTATGAAGTGTGTTAGTTGCACTGGGTGATCTTAGTGGTCTTCTCAAACCTTTGCGATTTTATGATTCTATCTGCATCTTTCTGAACAAGATCACAGAATCAGAGAATTGTTAGGGTTGGAAGGGACCTCTGGAGGTCATCTAGTCCAGCTCCCCAGCCAAGATAGGGTTGCCTAGAGCAGGTTACAGGCAAACACATCTGTGTGGGATTTGAATGCCTCCAGATGAAGGTTCACAACCTCCCTGGGCAGCCTGTTCTAGTGCTCTGCCACTCTACACCTAAAGAAGATCAGGGGAGAGTTGCTTGCATCTGCTGGAGTGTGTTTCTAGGAGCTTTATTCCAGCCAGTGTGGGCACAGGGATTCGGTGGAAGGGCCTGGTGTTTATTCAGCCTTTCTCTGGAACGCCATCTTGACCCACACAGATGGACAGGACAGCTTTGAGCAAGTCCTTTCATTTATTCAGCCGTTCGTGAGGGTTAATTTCTACTTGTTTATGCGCTGAACAGGCACATTGAGTTTCTGAACAGGCCTTGCATCTCCTAACGTGGGCACCAGTGAAAGGCAGAACTCACTACGGCCTGAGCTCCCAGCAGACACCACGGGCTGGGCAGCCCGCACTTTTCACAGAACGAGATTAAAATGGGGACGATTCGAGACACCTCCCGTGTGTGCCGCTACTGCCATGCTCAATGCCAACGCCTGGACGAGAGCCCGGGCGGGACGAGCCCCCG